AAATTAGGGCAGTTAACTCAAAATTGAAAAGAGAACCCACCAGCAGTGAATTCAGTTAGGCTTTCCATGGAGAGAAGACAGGACTCGGTTCAGGGAGCACGTGTGCCCTGCCCCTTCCCTGTGGGGGCCTGACAGGCATCTGCGGCTACTGCTGTCGATACTCTGCTAAAGAAACACTATGTGGGCTCGGCGCCTGTGGCTCAAGCGGCTAAGGCGCCAGCCACATACACCTAAGGTGGCGGGTTCGGATCCCCAGCCCGGGCCCGCCAAACAACAATGATGGCTGCAACCAAAAAATGGCCAGGCGTTGTGGCAGGCGCCTGTGGTCCCAGCTGCTTGGGAGGCTGAGGCAGGAGACTCGCTTGAGCCCAGGAGTTGGAGGTTGCTGTGAGTGTGATGCCATGGCACTCTACCCAGGGGGATAGCTTGAGGCTCCGTCAAAAAAAAAAAAGAGAAAGAAAGAAAGAAACGCTATGTGGGCTATTAGACAATTTTTGGAAAACAACAAATTAACATTAAATAGACATTTATTGTGCCATACAGTTAATAATATTTTCTGTGTTTTTGGAGAGCTCTCCTACATCATCTGAAAGGATGTTTGTTTATGATTCTAGTCTTAGGAGGGCAAACCAGAGGCTTTTGTGATATAAGCACTTCAAGTTTGGAAGATAGGTGGACACTGCCCTGAGGTTGATGTGGCCTCTTGTGCCTTCACAGGCCAGGTGCACCTTTATCCACAGTGTCTTTTGTAATCCATGGCCATCCATCCCCTGGACAGTGGCTTGCCGAGAGGACTTGGTTTCATAGGTGGTTGTGCTTGGATGTGGACCACGTGGAGGAAGTTTTATGGAGAGAACGTTGGCCTGGGAGCCTGTTACTCAAGAGTGTCTGTGTGTGAACACCACTTCACACCGTCTTCCCTTCTCTGCGCTGCATGCCCATAGCCTTGTCTTGAAGCGTTAACATCTGAGACACCTTTTCCCCATCAATAGCCACACAAGTTGCAGAGCCCAAAAAGAACGTTACCCATTTGTTTTGAAGAAACCTCACACTTTTTTCACCAGTGAAGTCACTTGCATTGAGAATAGCTTAGAAGCCAAGAAGATATGTTCAAACCCAAGTGACATAACTCAGTCATGGCCCAGATGTCTTGCCTTCCTTGTGAACCATATTTGCTAATCATAGCCTACTGCTTGCTGGGCAGTTCTTTCTGTAGATTCTTAATCCACTGTAGTTGCTGAGGAGGTTTTGTAGAGGCTCATCTGAAAGGGCTCTGCCTTCCCCAGCGTTCTGGCTGACTTGGTCCACTCTCCACGGACTCTGCTCAGTCGCAGAGCTGGCTGCTTCTTGCTTTGGACGTGCTCTTACTATCCAGTCTGTCTTAGAGTTTCAGGTCTTCAGTTTTAGGAAGAATGACACCCTTCAATTTTTAAAGGAACTTTGAAAATGACAAATCTGAATTCTGTGACTTTTAAAGAATCTTGGAGACTGGGGGGAAAAATTGTCAGTAGAATCCTGGTTTGGGTGATTCTTCCAATAGAGGACTCCTGTTCCATGATTTATTTGAGAATTCCTTATGGTTAATACATAAGGGGGTATGTTGAAGTAGTCTGGAAGCTAGCTGTGCCAGCAGGTGAAGTTAGTTCCCCCCCACCCCCTCTCTTCCTCTCCCGACCCCCTCCCTTCCCCCCACATGTAGGCAAATGTTTTGAACAAATTGGCAGTAAGGACTGAAACCCTGTCATCTGACTGCAGAATGGCTGAGAGGTGTGCAGATTAACAACTTGTCTGCCAACAAAGATTAGTTGTTTTTTTGTAGCTTTAGTGTCAAAGTAGAAGAAAGCTGTAGGGAAGCTGACTTAGTTTCATTTATGGGTAAATTGTTTACAATGAGAACCTTGTGGACATAGCTGCCTGTGAGGGAAGGGGCTTCCTGCCCATGGTGGTATTAGCCGTATTAGCGTGTAAGGGCATGGTCACTTGGTGAAGAGGTTTTAAGGATTCGAATGTTGCTGGAACTTCACCCACTGATTTTGAAGGCTGGCTTTTCATGAGGATTGCCTAGGGTGCGTTTATAAACCGCAGAGCTCTCTTCCCTTAGTAGCTTTGGGATAAGGCCCAGGAGTGTCCATTTTAGGTGTGGTTCTGAGGCTTCTTCGGGCCAGAGCCATGGGGCCATTTCCCCTTATTTCCTGCCTTGGGCCTCGTGTCCTTCAGGCCTGTAGTGTCCTCGGGTCCTCGTGGATAAGAGTGCCAACAGAAGCATGGTGACAATAGTCTGTGATTTCAAGGATCAGCAGGGTCAGGCTGGGCTCAGAAAGGATCTAATCCAGCCTTTTTACAAAACCAGATGAACAAGCAGATGCAGGTGGGAGCCTGCTTGGGGTCACTGGGTGAGCAGGAGTTTGGTAGCCATTTTGGTCTCCCTTCACTTTGTCTCTCTACACGTCTGGGAAGTCTGGTGTGTGTCACCTTCTCCTAATAATTCCTGGAAGTTCTGCCTGCTGTCTATAAAGAGCACAGCAGAGTATGAAAGCCCTTATCTTTCCCATGCTTATGTTTTGGCCAGTTTTTATCCAAAATGACT